CATTTGCTGTGCGACATGTGAGGCACTGGCAGCTTGCGCTTCAGCTATCCATTGCCTCACCACTTTAAGAAGTCGATGCGGGTGTTTTGACTTTTTTCTATTGGAATCAATTGTTCTTTGCAGTGAAGAACCAGCGATACAAGCAAACCTGCCAATTTGAACATGTGAAGTCCTTACTGTTCACAAAAATGACAAAAGGAACAACGACTCTCTGGCTAAGGGCTTTGCTCCAACATCATTTCTTGTGCGTTTGGATCTGGATCCACTTCTGACAGAACCTTCCAGGTAACAATGAGAATGGCTCGGAAGCTGATGGGGTGTCATGGAAAAGATTGGAAAAGGAAGCAAAGAAACAGTCAGCAAATCAATGCATTGATCTTTTCGCTGGAAAAAAACAGTTCCTTTGTGTCTTGCAAACCTCAGCACGACTTTGAAGAAGACACTGAAAGGCATGCCGCATATCCATGGAGCTGTCAATCCACCCGCCCGGAGATGGCCAAAACTCCGCTGGGGACCAGTGGGGATCCTCAACCAGGATCTATCAATTCGATCAATTCTGTCTATATTCCCACCTTTTTTGCTGGTTAAAGTATCTTAAAACATGTTACCATCTGGTTATTTCTAACATAGCCATGGAAAATCACCATTTTTAATAGGTAAATCAACTATAAATGGGCCATTTTCCATGGCTATGTTAAATAACCAGAGGGTAACTGTTTCCCTCCGCCATCTTCACTCGTAGCCCGCCTGCAACATGTACGTCTTGAAGACACTGAAAGGCACTGCATCTCCACTGGGACTCAGCCTCCGACGAAAAAGGTCCTGCTGAGGGCGGCTGTATTTACCATGAACTAATGTGGCAGTGTGTCAAAACCCTGGTACCCCTGGTGAACCCCAAAATAGCTGGTAAATGGATGTTCATCCCATTAGAATTGATATTAATAGGTATTGATCCATACCCATGTGATTATTATTCCCATTTATTCCAAGATATTCATAGAGGAAACTATTCATGAATCACCAATGGGAATCAATGGGAAGTAATTCCCATGAATAGTCCCAATAATATTCTACTTAATAGTCCCATTAAGATATTGCATAAGTCGAAACTGTTTAGAACATCACTCACGTTCGGACGGTGTCCTGGTATTTCTCCTTCACCGCTTCCATGTCTGCATCCTTCCCATAGTGCAACCTGATAGGAAAAGAGGCCGCAGATGGCCGCAGTATTCAACTGTGCGCATGTGGTACAATGGTTTATTTTTAATACCAGTATTTTAAATTTACTTATCCATTTTGGGGAGATATATAATGTTGAGCCATTCCCGTGTTTACCTGGAGTGAACTCTCACCTCCACGGGTCAGTCAGTGCCATGGGATTGGCTAAGAGGAAGTCTTGGTCTTGCTTGAAAGGTTTCGAAAGGTTCGAAATACACAATTTTGCCAAGAAAAAGGCGAAATAACAACTGCCAGGATGACACAACGATCTTCTTGTTTAACTGGATGAGTTCTATCTCCTGCAGAGCGGAATTGCCATTTTTTTCACACAGTCATCTTTGCCACCAGCACAGGGTGATGAAAACAAATCCCAAGTGAGCAGTGTTCAAACGTTCTGTAGTCTTCTGTCATTCCACTGTACTGGCTAGTTATGCACAGGATTCCCAGTTCATGGCTTATCATAATAAAATACGTGTATATTATATATATATATAATCGCATAATCTAAAGTTGAAGGGTACAGTGACTATAACCCCTTTTTCGTGAACCAACGGTTGACGGACACGGTGTCCGCAGCCCAGGGTCCTCCAACAAACCGTTCTTGTTGAGGTCGTGTGCACTAAAGAGCTCCTTCAAAGGAATGGATCAAGACCCTGGTGCCGGAACATCAACGTAGCTCACACATACGCACTGATATATATATATATATATGACCATGTATATTAAGCTCACACACACACACTGATATATATATATATATATATTATATATATTATATGACCATGTATATTATATGTGACCATATATATATATGTCATATAGTCATATTATATATACATATACACATATTATACACCTATAATTATAGATATTTCATTTTTTCTATGTACAGTAATTATACTATATATACTTATATTATGACTATGACTAATGACTATTGCTATTACTCTTCCAATTGCCATTACACAAGGGCCTGCAGCAAATCGTCCAGCCGCGTGTGCACCAGGGCTTTCTTGCGGTCACCAAAGCTGCGCGTGGCGCAAGCGGTTGCGAGGAGTAGGTTACTTGAAAACAAAGAACAGACCAACAACAAACAACTTTATACTCTATACCATACTATACTGTTTTTTGCCGTAGATGTTTTGGGGAATTTGATGAATTTGCATGGCATGACCTATACCTGTAAAAGAAGCCTAGAGGTCCGCGGGCTGCGAAGGTGCTTGAAAATACTTAACATACAAAAGGCACAAGTCTTGAGTCGATGTCAGGCTGTGGATGTGGACAGTGGGTGACCGTCGTGTCCGTCTGTACCTTGCTTCAGCACAGCGCTTGTACAAACCACCTCAGAGCATAGTGCATCAACAACAAAAGACCTGAATGGCACCCTTGTTAACCGAGAAAATATATGAAAATATTATGTCACGGAGTATCACTCCAGAACTGCTATCACCATATGTCACAGCAAAAGTTGGCCTTGCTCAGATGCAAAGCTGGAGGAGACGAGAGTAAATAAATGGCTGCTTGACCAACAGTAACTATAGCTTGCTCAGGTGACCCAAGATATGACTCCACTGCTGGTATCTGCTGATTGCCTCCAATTCAGAGAAACTCGAGTGATGTTCCAACCACCCAAGCTCCGGGCATGCATCAGAATCGAAGAGGCGATCCAGAACGCTCGTGCCTGCCGTCACATGCCGTCACGGATCAACACGGATCTACGCCCGGCACCAGGGACGCTGCCTCATCCTGCCTCATTTAAACAAATCAAACAGCTTCCAAAGATGTTTGGTTCATGCAAACATGCTCAGACAGCATAACTTTCGTCGTCTTTCAAGACTCTACCAACGTTTCCAGACCTTTTTCTTCGTAAATGGATAAATGGTATGCATGGTTTTCCTCCGTTGTCCAGGCCTTGCATATGTCTTCCCGACAAGCGGCGTGCCTAGCGCTGCCCATGCTGCATAGCTTGAACAGTCGCAAGCATACAGATATCCGAGCATATTCGAGGATTCCCACTTCATGATACTTGGACTTCCTTCTTGGAGCAAAAAAGCGTCCCCAAAACATCCCCAAACCCACAGCTTTCCTTGCAAGGCTCATCATCTCCATCACCTAGGCTCAGGGTCCATCCTTGGGTCGGCCTCATGCCTTTTGTTTCGTTATAAAGGTTGCAGCTTTAGGCTGGTCCTGGTCTCGAGACAAAGCCTTTCAAAGAGCAAAGATTCGATTCGATATAGTATGATATAGTATTCTTGAATATTCTTGGCACGTTCCCACAAGTCAACCATGACAACCCACATGGCACCACTTGCGAGCTTAAAAGGAAGCATACTATAACATACTACAATATATATATATACTATACGTATCTATACTCTATACTTACAATTATTTGTATAAAAAGGATGTAAAATGGAAAAAACACACCCCCGGATATGACAAATCAACCCAGCTTTTCGTAGTCTGAAGACTCTGGCCACCCAAAAAGTTCACTTTCCTCTGCTGTGTGGATCTGCCCCTGGGATCTCCAAACTCACACAGTCAACGAGTGAAGGGACTGCTCCCATGGCAAACAACTGCGCCTTGGTGACACGTTGAATCACGTTGATCGCCACGCAGGCGACCTGCTTTTCACATTGAAACTCCTTGCGACTTTGGGGACAAACATCATTTAAAATTTAGAAGTTTAGAGCTCGCTAGGCACCTGCAACCAACGCAACCAAGCCCAGCATCTGGACTAGCCATGACGAGAAACAGTCAGTCCCAACATCAGTAGAATTACACTTGAGAAAGGATGACTGCAGAGACCGTGTAAGGCTCTCACCAAATGCGCAGCGATGCGTCGGCAAAGATTTTGACGGGCCACAGAGCCAATATCAAAGAGTCGATCTGTTGCAATTGTATGCAATTGTCAAGTAAAGTCTGTTGGTTTTGCTTCCAGTGTGATTGTCTCTGTCATCGCAACAAGGTGGCATCCAAGTTTCAATGATCCAAATGCTGCGGCCCTGACACTGGCATTTGGTAAAATGAAGTGTCAAGCAAAGCTTGCACATGTTCACAGAAAATGTTCACAGAAAATGTCCATGTTATGATGCCTCTGGGACAGGAATCACGGCGAATGGTGGTACCTTCATTGATGATAGAATCTGATAGAATGAAGTGAACAAGTCGCTGACAGGCTGTTCTGTTTTACATATACAGTGGAATCTGTATGTGCATGCTATGTTGGGCAAGGGACTTGTATCATGCAAGCCTTGCGTGTGATTAGATGAATCAGGTTGGTTCACTTGCATACACACAAGAATGGCATTGAGCACTTGGGGAGTTCCAGGAGGCCACTCTGGGAGCACATTTTGACGACTTGCATGAAACTTTGCATGAAACTGTCTGTGGGAATTTCTTGAGATCTGAAGACTGCAATTGACTACAACTCCAAATCTTCCTTCGAAATCAATATCTTGGCATGTTTCACAAAGAAACACCCACGTCTCAAACCATAGCACACTGAAATGTGACTTGATGTGACTTGATGCTTCAAATGTCAGCCTAGTGAAATACGGACTTGCACTCCTTCTCAAACAAGTCCGCTGCAGTGCAACATTGCAAATGTTCCATTAAACAATTCAACATATTTGGATTCGATACAAACAGTGATTGAACTGAAACTTGATCGACTCTTCTGATTTTGATCTGCAAGCTGCACAACTGAAACCCAGGGATTTCTTCTTTGAGCAAATCCCATGGGCTTCCGGTGGTTCGGCTTCCGGTGGTTCCTCATGGCCTCACTGGCCTCGTTTGCGGCTCATGGGGATGGGACCTGAGGATTGACTTTCCAGCTCTCTATCTGCTCGAGGGTCTTGAGATACCACGTCGAAGTCTTCCTTTTGCCTCGGGCCATCGGGGCCATCTTCACCATGACTAGGAGACAAAAGGAGGGAGTCGACCAACAGTGATACACAAATGGGGTATGCACAGCTGGTGGTTACCTGGTGCTCTGCAGAACGTGCTCGTAAAATAGAATCATGAACCCCAGGTAAGATAGAACGCGGAGCTTAGCAATCTCCCTGTACGATTCATCTGTGCCTTGGGGGGTCTTCAATGTATGGCTTCTTTTGTGCTGCGTGACAGCTGGCCCTCTACAAAGCCTTGTCATGCAAAAGTTATGCGAACCATTTTGTTCCGCTTTCTGATGCTTTAAGCTTGGCTGTTCATGGCTTTTGATGGCTTTTTCAAGACATGGTTCCCATCAGCCATTGCACTGAAGTTCCAACATGGTTTAATGGCGTACGGCCACGGGTCTGGATTCAGCTGAGCCACTGCAGGGCCGCAAAGACCCCGAGTTTCTGCATGAGCTCTTTGGTGGTTCCCTCCGACCAGGGTGCCTAGCGATCTGCTGACGGAGCTAACATACACAGCAAGGCATGCTCGCACATCTCCAGCAGTCAAAGCATCGAAAAATGAAGCAACTGATTATTCTGGTCAAAAACATTAATGGTGTCGGATTTCATGGTCACAACTAATCCAACCATCACGAATTCCATGCATTTCATTTCCAACATCGATGGAAGGGCCCTGGCCTTGAACTCCATTTCTTGGTTCAAAGTCGCACTCTTCAGGAGTTTGGAGAAGGCCGGTGTGTCCGTCTGGAATCTGCTGTGAAGCTCAAAGGCGATCTTCGCCCCGCGAGCCTGGCGCCCGCACAAATTGGGAATTGCATCATACTGGGTTCTAGTTTCATTGATTTTAATATATGATATATAATATATTATATATAATATATGATATATACTATATAATCTAATAATATACATATGTATATATATAATATACACATATTTACATAATTAATCTTAGATGTGGAACTAAACCCTCCAAACATGGGGACTAGCATGGATTAGCCAAGAAAGCAAGTGTTGAAAGACCAGTTGACACACTTCGAATTGGGTTTCCATGGTTCCGGTGACGTTCAAATTCAAGTGACGAGAAAATCTGTGGCACCAAACCTCCATTAGGTCGTTTGTCTCGAGTGTGAGAAAGGGTGTTCTGTGGGCGTGTCACGCGTGTGAAAGAGAACTTTGGCCACTCAAGTCACTCGTCAATTTAAATATTTTAAATGCATCTCTACAAGTCTCATCAAGTCTCAGGTTGTGCCTCTGATGGCCTTTCAAGTCTTCCAGAAAGCACATGAACCTGCGCGTTGTGGAAGGGCTGTCCAGTTGCGATCAGAGCCGTCTCAACGGCAAGCGCGCCTGGGCTGCATCATAAAAGCGCTCCAGCGCAGATTCCCAGCTCAAGCGGGCCTCATCTGGTCATGGCCGAAAGCTTTCATGGCATGGCGCTTTCTCAAGAATGGAACAAGACCTCTGGTGGAGATCAAACATAAACATATACTATATGACTATATGTATCAAATTTTAATGCATATACATCAATCCATAAATTAGATATAAAAGTGGGACACACTTTTTTCCCAGCCACAAATTGCATCCACCATTCAGCCGCCTCTGCTTCAGCTGGCAAGGGCACTGGACCTTCTTGCTCTAGTGCTTCCTGGGGCAATCAAGGGATGGACACCCAGAAGAAATACATCATTTAGATAAATTAGATCGATATTTAGAGTAAAATTTAGAGGATCTAAAACCATCCAATTTGGAAGTAAAAGCAGTAAAAGGCCAAACGTTTTGGAGCTCAATCCCCATTCAAACGCTTGAAGTCGCTTGAAGTTGCACCTTCAAGGCGTTGTGGAAGGACTCTGAATCCTGAAATTCCAGAATTTCAAGCGCACAGTCAATGCACTAAATGTCGATAACATCAAATGACTCATCAAATCACTCAATTCAGCTTAATTGATTTAAATGTTCACGAAATCCAAGTATATGATTCCAGTTTGTTAATTGATAGCCAACTCGCTTTTGCTACTGAAAACATCAAGCAACCCTATTATCTCTATTTTACACCAGTGCCACACCAAACAATTCCTGAAAAGTTTCTGACATGTCCTTCATCAGTCTTCATATCATGGGGTCCGGTCCAAACTGAAAGGGATCCGGGATATGTCCAGCAGCAGCTTTCGACTCCTGTAACTTGAAAAAATGACATCTCTCATCGAAATTTGCCTCGCAGCCGGTACGAAATTGCCACATCAGTTTCGCGTTGGCATGACAGCAGGCCCAAATTGGCGTGTATTGATGCAAAAGACTCATAATCCATCATAATCTCAACATTTTATAATTATATAACATTAATTAACATCAATTATATCATATTGCACCAAAAGAAATCAGAACGAACCTGTCCCTGCCTTGAAGTATGCGTTGGATGGATGATCTGGGAGAACCTACGAAGCTCATGGTCAAAAACATCGAATCATTGGGCAAGGGACGAGGACAGCTCAGTTCAAGTTGCAGTACCAGTACGAGTACTCACTTCAATATATATATATATACTTTGGGCGCATCGAGTGCATTTCCAAGAGACTGTCAAATGCATCAACATGTGCTCTTTCCATCTCTTTCCTTACTGAACACCGATGATTCCAGTCAACATTTGGAGGCGCACCACCCGTTTTCCCATGGCAAGAGCTTCTGCAGTGACAGTACCTCGGCCAGTTGTCATCACAGCACCACCTGAACTGCTGCATCAAGTTCAAGTCCCAAGGTCACGAATGTATCTCAAAGATGGCTTGTTCCAAGGTACACAGCATCTCGGTTGTCGAAGCATTCACTAGCACCTGACATTTGCGATGTGTAGCAAATGCCATGCTATTGCAGAAATGTCGGGCAACTGCACCTGGGTCTACAAGCCGAACACTGGGATGTAGTGAGTAGTGAGTGATCTTCGTGTGGTGTGTCGTGCCTAAAATAGTAGAAGTATACCACACATTACCACACACTAATTTAATTACGGGAATTCAGTTTGTCCCTCCTCTTGTAGCCTCCGCAAATAGTATAATTTCATAGACTGAATGTCACCAGTTACTTGTTTGACCAGACGCTCGACCTTGTACTGCTCGAACTCCTTCTCCGAATGATTGCGTCCGGCGGACATTGTCATGATCCTTGGTTCTGATTCAGCTGTCAGTGTGTAGTCGTATTCTTTCGATCTTATTGATGCAATGATCAAGACCAAGACCCGTGTCAAGTCTTTAGACCTCTCGTTAAAGATGGCAGGCAAATCCTGGAAAACATACCCGCAAATATCAATCCATGATGATTACACAAATGCACATTTCATCACATCTCTTGAAATCTGCGAACAGAACATCGTCAGAAAAGCCAGACCCAAGGCACTGCCGCCCGCACTTGTTGTTCATCTTCTCTACCATCTCCAAGATCTCCTGCAAAATCTTGGCGAAGTCTCAGCGCATGTCTTTAAGACAACAGTTGAAACTTGGATCGCAAAAATCGCAAAAGCCTGCCTGTTGTCTTATGGTGTCTTATGGCTGTGCAGAACTAGATAGAACTAGACTGGACGGCATTGTAGTTCTCCAAACCACCCAACCTTGGCATCTGGACCGGAGCCAAAGGCATCCAACTGAAAGTCGGACCAAGCCTTTCAGCGCAGCGTGAATACAGACATCATCGGATTGAGCGAAAAATTGCAGGAAATGAACTTATACATGTCATAGAGAAAGCCCTTTCGGGTTAATCTGAAAATGGGGTATTACTATTACATCATATTACATCATATTACATCATATTACATCATATTACATCATATTACATCTATTACTAGTACTGACTATTAAATTTAAGATATTTTAATATGGGGAATATGATTTTCCTAAACAGTAGATTCAGGGGATGCTATTGGATTTTCCCAATTTTTCAGAGATTTTCCCATCAATCCGGTGACCAACATGCGGACCTCGGTGTCCGGCAGGGTGGCAAGGAGGTTCAGCAACTGCACCTAACGAGATACCCTGAAAGGCCATGAAAATAGACCAAAGATACGTTTCAAGCCATATGAGTACCATAGACAAACATGAAATTTAATAATCATGGGTATGTATTTATATATAAAGTATATATTGTAATATATTATATATATATGTATATGCGGTTGATCTAAATTCCTTTATCTGCAAACGGCCATTCTTCGCGAATAAAAAATATGTCTGCGAATCCTTCGCGAACCCCACGTTTATCTTTCGTAGGGGTCTCATGTTAAAATTATTCGTGAAATCTTTCGCAAAAAAAACACGACTTTCGCAAACTCAGAAAATAACTTTCGCGAGGTCTCATGTTAGAACCGCGAGGTCTCATGTTAGAACGGCGAGGTCTCATGTTAGAACCCTGGCGGCCTTCGTAATGGACAATCTCTACATGGACCTTTAGATCGACAATCATATATGTATAATTATGTATATGTACAGGTCATACATATATATATATACATATAATTATATATATATACACACTATGCAGATCTATATAGTGCATATAACATGATTGTTGTGGTAAAAAAAAGGCAACCTAAAAACCTCCTCCGGGTGAAGCAAAAAGGCCCTTGGGCTGGTACCCAGCCCTTGGGCTTCACCGCTTTACCGATGAAGTACACTTGGGAATTCAATGCGGTGTCCTGCATCAGTTGCAGAGCAAGTTGGAGATCTACATGCCATCTACATAGCAAACCGAAAAAACGCTTGATTTGGAATCCTGTCAGCTTATATATATAGAGCTTATATATATAGGTATATGATATTCCAGAAATTATATAGAATGATATAAAATGTATATCTAAATATCACCGTAATATTTCTGCATGTCATGCACAGCATGCATGGCATCCGTATCCAGTTACAAGCAAAGCGGTTCCAAAAGCCGAAACATCAAACCCCTGAGGCCAAGAGATTCATCATCTCCTTGCCGCGTAACCAGCGAGGGCGGACAGCCTGGATCGTCAATGGTTTTTTTCCTCTGCCACAGCTGGATCTGAAAGATTCTGAAAGTGCAATTCCTCTTCCAAAATTGAAAAACCTGTTGTGAGTACACTGTCTGGACAAATGCATGTTGAGATCAAGTCTCAAACGTTGCTGCGCCGGGCAATGTCAAAGAACTCCTGTCTCACCTCGCACTGCACCACAGCGCGGCTTGATTGATTCATGCCTTTTGAATTGGGCATGCATGCCCATATGCCATATGCAACTTTGCAAGTGATCACTGTGTCTGTTTTCTAAGTACAAGCTGATTGGCGCAGTTCAACTTGTGGACACAGAGTTGAAGTAGTGCTCAGAGCGCATTTGGAATGAGAAACATGCTCTAGATCTTTTAAATCTGCATCAGAACCAGAAAGTCATGAAGAATCCCTCTCTGCAACAGTTGGCTTTATCGGATGGCATCGGTTGGCGTCACCAAGGCTCCAACGCCATGCACATTGTACAAGACCTGACGAAGGTGGCAGATGAAAAAGACGGGCAGCATGCGCTTTGCTGAAAACCCAAAGAGAAGCCCTGTTCTCCAAGCCGCTACTAAATGCTCATGAAATCTTTTAAAATGGCACCATTGTTTTTCGATCCAGGATCAAAACGTTTTTACGCGCATGGCGCGCGCACGCCTCGTTCGGCAAAGAGATGCCAGCTGAAGATAGTTTGATGGTCACATCGCAATAGGCGCTGCAAACCTGAAATGTTGAAACGAAATGGAATCCCTGTGGGGGTTGAAAAGCCGATTGGAGTTCGTGGTCGCAAAGCCAAAACTGCGAAAAAAGCTGAAAAAAAACAAGATCACTCAGTAGCAGTGGATGGCGTGGATGTGGGTTTGAAAAGCATTCATATGGATTCATTATTAGGTACTATTAACCACTATTAACCACTATTAACAATTCTTAAGCCAACCCATCATTCTCGAAAAACCAAGACATTAAAAAACCACAGCTTGGTACGCGACTGGCAAGTAGCTGTTTTTTTTTGAAATTGCTCCGGTTGAGGACGAGACCATGGAGGTAAATGTTGAGAACAAGCTATCTCTGATCGTCGCACCTGGGATCGAATGAAAGGTCCAACTAAGGACATGGATGAAACATTATGAAACATGATGAAACTCAATCACAAGCTCAATTTTGGTGATTAGAGGCAATTAGTTCATGAATGTCGACATGAAGTATAAATAAAAGCTTGCCACGTGTCTCATGTACAGCAACAGCTTCAAGATTCCAGTGACGGATTGAGGAATGTTCGCCTTGATGTAAGGATTGCTATGAATACTCTTCACATGTTTTCAATAGTTCCACCCCTTCAGCTGGACCAGCACAGCTAGACCAAAAGCGCTCCTAAACTTTGGCACCTCCTGCCACTTCTCTAGTCAAGACATTCATATGAGACCAAACTTTTCAATCACATCTTTCTTTGGCAATATGAGTTTGTGAAAAAAAACATTACTTAACCCCAAATCCAGTGGTAAATCGGTATATAAATCATAATTTCTCCTCTTCAAATGTCCTTCTGTCTGAGCAGTTTCGCATTGACGTGCCAGGACTCCAGCTACTCATGAGGCCAGCATAGCCCAACTCCTCTAGGTACACCTGGCAAAAGGTGCTGTGTCGCCATCGAACATGTTGATCATGTTGCGCATGTTGCTTGCAATATGGCTCTGAAAATACGGAAGGCACCAGTAGAATGGTTCTTTTTAACACGGATATTATATTATAATGAGGATGCACCACTGGATTAAGGAGTTTCCCCCTCTCCCCAATTTATCCAATTCGAAGTTTGCTGGATTTACCACATCATTCCCGATGGGGGCAAAAAAAACGATGAAAAACGCTTACCCCTTACCCTCTGGTAATTTAACATAACTATGGAAAATCACCATTTTCAATGGGAAAATCCACTATAAATGGTGATTTTCAATAGCTATGTTAGTCATTACCAGAGGGTAACACTGCAGCAATGAAGAAACCATGTCAGGCGGTACCTGGTAATTTGTGTGCACTACTCCAACCACGTGCTTGTAGAGATCTGTCCACCTGAAAGTCGCCAGAACGCCAGCGGTGGAGATCAAAATTGACTCAAAGTCACTTAAAGGATCTTACAGGTAACTTGTGTACAAAATAGAGTGTGCATAGTACACTTCATGACATTTCATGACATTTCATGATAATGTGCATTGTCAGTGTTGACCTACAGTAAATGTCGACTAGCGGCAAAGTTTGAGAATGACACAAAGATCCAATGGAAGTTGATTGTCGTGGGGAATGCACCCCTTGTCTCTCACCATTGCTGATGAAACCAAGGGGATGATCAGTGTTAAGCTCCCAATGGTTTCCATCTCATGGTTTAGGAAAGGCGCAGTGCATCCTGCTCCTTTGAACTTTTGGCTAAAGGATCTCAAAGGGTTTCCTCTCAAAGCTCCACCATTTTCATCCATTTTCCAGAAACACACGGCCCAGGTCTCTGCGCGCATTGCGTTGCTCCACTGTCCTTCGGGTTTCTTGTCACCCGGGACTCGGAAGCCGACCAAACCATCAGGCCGCGAGGTGAAATGACTCGCGAGTTGCAGACTGCGGCAGGATCCACAGGGACTGCCACAGTGTGACAACTCGCCTTTGACAAAAATTGGTTCCGATCAAACTTGCGGAACCAGAGTTTCGTTCACGTGAACACGGCTTCTAGGGACTGGCCAGGACGAAGACAGGATCAGATTTTTTCCAATCACAAAGACCATTCCACTGCAAACATAGGTCAATAAGTCAAGCAACTTGGGAAAGTGCAGTAAGCAGAAGGCATTAGATGGCACTAGAATTAGTTCGAGTAACTTTAGGTCATGCTCTGACTATGCATTTTCTGGCAAGAGACAGCGATTTCCGTCCTAGACGTGGGAAAATGTGCGAACAATTTCTTACCTGAACTACAAATTGTGCAAAAAACAGGTCCTTCATGACGGGGTATGTGGAAAAACTCCGCTGGATGTGCTCTTTACAGCTACACATAAATCCATGTCTACATTGTATAATATAAAAAAAAACTTTCTTTGATTATACAGTATCTCTCTCTCTCTCCCTCTTTCTCTCTCTCCCTCTCTCTCCCTCTCTCCCTCTCTCCCTCTCTCTCCCTCTCTCCCTCTCTCTCCCTCTCTCTCCCCTCCCTCTCTCTCCTCCTCTCTCTCTCTCTTCTCCTCTCGCTCATCCCTCTCTCTTCGCTCATCCCTCTCTCTCTCCCTCTCCTTCAGGTCCCTCTCTCTCCCTTTCTCTCCCTCTCTCTCCCTCTCTCTCCCTCCCTCCCTCTCTCTCTCTCTCTTTTTTTCTTTGTCACTAGAAACCATTGCCTTGAAAGATATTGAAAGCATCTAATGGGTTTGAAACTCCAGCATCAGGTCCATGACCAGGCTCCCACACCCAGGGCTCTCTGAACATGGTCGACTTTGACTGCAACTTTGTGTGACGTCAGCGCCGTCGAAGCAACTGAATCTACACGGAACAAGATCAGTTGAGTGTTCATGGCCTTTCAAGATGTTTTCTTCTGAGTAGGATAATGAAGCCAGAGGAAGCAAGTAAGATAATTATCGAGGGAAGTTTAGAAGTTTAGACGTTTAGAAGTCAAACTTCCGACAATATGGACAGATGAAAAGCAGAGATGGGAAGAGTCAGAGAAGAGAAGAAGAAACAAGATCAACGAAGAGAAAGTCTCAGATGTCTCAGAAGAAAGAAGATCCAGGTGCGCGAAAAGGCAGGAAAGTCGCAGAACACTGTGTTTTTCCAATGATTTGTGGCCCCGGAGGGTCGAAAAGTAGGCTCGCTAAAGCGGCGGGGGCGGAGCCATGTGGTCAGACGAGAAATAAAAAATTGCAAGCCGTTGTGGCGCAAAGCACATTTCCAAGTCAAAAGGTACAAAACACCTCAGCTCCGGAGCACTTTTGGAAGTTGTGATGTCGAAAAAGTGCATGCCGTTGTGGTGCGAAGCACATTTGCAAGTGAAAAAGCTAAAAACACCTCACGTTCGGATCACTTTTAGAAGTTGCGATGTCGAAAAAGTGCACGCCGTTGTGGCGCGAAGCAGATTTCGAAGTCAAAATGTACAAAGCACACCATGCTCGGACTTCTTTTGGAAGTCGAGATGTCGAAAAAGTGCATGCCGTTGTGGCGCAAAGCAGATTTCGAAGTCAAAATGTACAAAACACACCATGCTCGGACTCTCGGACCTCTTTTGGAAGTTGAGATGTCGAAAAAGTGTATGCCGTTGTGGCGCGAAGCACATCTCCAAGTCAAAAGTGTTAAAAACTGGCGGTCTCGGACCCGTTTTGGACGTTCAGATGTCGTTTCGCGTGGCAAGCGCAAGGGATTGTGCACCTTGTCAAAAGTGAGCAAAACGTGAGGGTTTTGTAGCATTTCCAAAAACGATTGCATTTCCAAAAACGATGGCAGGCGTGGGACATTTGAAGAGGATCTGCAAAGATGCATTTTCCATGGCAGGCGCAGTACAAGAGACATGTTCATCAGACATGTTACGAGATCAGGCGCTGATTTCCTGAGAGGGGTTGCATTTGGAGCATCAGATCTTCAGGTTTGCTGAGATGATTTGCGTGACAGGTGCAGCACTTCGTATGACCTGGCATCACTTTTTCGTGGCAGTCGAAGTACTTTAGACAGGTGGAGTGGAAACATCGCAAAACGCATTGGTACGAGGCTGTCAGCTCTGCACTCAACTTTCCATTTTTGAAGGAAGTCTCGCAGAATTGTTTCGTTTTTGATGTTGTCAACTTCGAAAATTGACAAAATCTCGCAGAATTGTGTCGTTTTGATGTTGTCAAGTTCAAAAATTGAGGAATTCTCGCAGAATTGTTTCGGTTTTGACGTTGCCAAGTTCAAAAATTGAGGAAGTCTCGCATACGCTGCGTTTTCAAGCTTGCAGGTAGAAAGACAGACAGACAGGCAGACAAACAGACAGACAGATAGATAGACAATTACAACTACAACTACAACTGCCACTACACTACACTACTGCTACAACTACAAATACAAATATACTACCCTACATTACACTACACTTATTACGCTACACTACACTAGTTACATCGAATGACACTACACTACACCAATTACACTAACAACTACAACAACAAGTACTACCACAACTACAACTACAATTACAACTTCACGACGCTACAACTACAAATACAACTACAACT